GGAATGACTTATTCCTGGGAGTGGTGAGAATTGGTGGGTGGTAACCATCCATAGTCTAAAATTGTTAGAAAGAATACAAACTGCCAAACAACCATTTTATCTTCCAGCTTTTCCAAGCAAGAATGAAGTCTTTTGATGTTTATGTTCATTTTAAGAAGACAAATAAACTGAAATTTTAAGACCATACACAACCCAAGTTGAATTGCGATCTCAGGAGATGGCCTCTCATCTACCGTGGTGTATTAGTAATTGTATTTATTTCATGGAATTTCAGGGTGTATGTGAACATGTCTAGCACGACTCAGGTAAATCTTAAAAGAATGTACATAACAGCAGAAAGGAGCTGAATTGTTAACCAAAACTGTTCCATTACCTTGGGTCACTGTGCAAACTCATTCAGGGTATAGATGTAGGTTTAGCAGCCTTAGAATCAAATTCCAGTCTCTTTGCTCAGGCAAAATTACCATGGGGTTTTTTGAGGAGTCCAGTGTATACGTAAGGGGTGAGGCCCTGCTAACCTCAGGACTATTAGTTTTAAAGAGATTAACCCTAGTCACAGTGATTTTCATTTAGGAGCTAACTAGGAGTTTACTCTTTATGATGTGAGACTTTAAAGAATATAGAAAAATTTTGTACCATGATCAGAGTAGAAGAAGAAATGGTGTAAGGAAAGAAAACACAACAAGAAATCCCTTGCAAAATATTCCAGGTCAAAAGTTGTCTCTTCTCCAAAACTTGCAGAAGCATCTTATTCTCTTCAGTGCACTGTTTTGGGACTGTTTATGCAGCAGCTATAAGCAGACAACATGACATACCTCTAATATTAAAGGTAAAGTATTACCGAGGTTAAACATAAAAATTGAGTAGTATTAATTTAAAGTGCACCATCAGGACAACAAACCATTTAAGCTGAAAAAGCACTATCTTGTTTCTTGACTTTGCCAGTTGCTTACACATTGAGTTAAGGATGTGTCTCACTTTCACCTACTGTGCATCTCCCTGCCCTAACTGTCCAATGTGTCAGGTCGAGGACATTGAATGTTATGAATTGAGAACCTAATTGATGCGCATAGTTTTCATCTATGCAATTTTACTTGCTTCTGTCACTTTATGATCTGTTCAAATTTGGCATCAATTAAAGATAATTTTTAAGGATCTTATCAAGGGATTTCTTATTTGCCTCTTGTTTAACTGGTCTTCTGGGACCCTCTCCTCACACCCTGTACTGTGGAGTTCCTTTAAATAACAAACCCAAGATAAAATCACGAAGCAGGCTTGCTTCCTTCAGAACTCACGGACTGTTTCTGCTATCCAAGGAAATACACTGTGGTTGAATTTTGATGATAAATTCACAGTTTGGTCTCAGGTATTTTGGCCTGTGAAAGCAATGGGGGATCGAAAGCTTTGAAAAGGAAAAAGGAAACGAGGCTTAAGGGAGTAAAGTAATTGGTCATCTTCATTTACACTGTTTCTGATTTGAAACTGTATCTTTCATGCACAGTCTGAGAAGCTTTGCAGGAAGGACTGTGTGTGTGTGTGTGTGTGTGTGTGTGTGTGTGTGTGTGTGTGCGCGCGCGCGCACGTGCATCCACAAGAGTGCTGCGGTCTGGCATCAAATGGCTTGGTAATTACAATATGGTATTAGAAGTGATTATTGTGTGGATAAACAAAATCATTCCTAGCTGTTCTTTACATAGGCTTTTCTACGTGTGGTTACCACGTTTATTATCCTGTGTTGTTTTTTTAAATAACTCATTGGTGCATTTACTTTTGATTCTTCCTGAGATTTAGATCCTCCCTTTTCTTCCTTGTGAATATTCCATTTTATACAAGCTCCTGTATGTCAGAGCAAACAGGGTTACCTGCTTCATGACAAGTGTCTGGTACATGCCAAGTGCACTGGGTGGCTGGTACATCATCAAAGAGTTGTATTGCATTGTGATAGGTTCAATTTGTAAGATTTGGAGATGAATCTTGCTTTTGCTGTTGAAGTTGCTACTCAAAGTAGATCAAGAGGCTGGGCATGCTGCCCATAATTTTTCTGTTGTGGTCAGAAAACAGGCCAGGCTAAACTCTGACAGAAGGTG